ATCATACTCAGCGTGCCCTTGTTGGTTTTTGGTCTCGAAAACCGATGTCCATAGCAATCATCATGTAATATAACAATCGTATTGACCTTTGCCTCCTCACTCACATGCCCCTCCAATTCTTTCCCAAAGTGCTCGCGAGCAATGGTATTAGCGGTAGCAATTTCAACTTCCTCCATTGCAACACTAAGAGGTGAACTCGGGTGCCCAAACAAAAGACTAGAAGACCTCCTCGAGCCCAAACCCGGTGAACCTGGATCGCCCAATAACGAAGTGGTAGAATTCTTTCGTAATAAAGCCGGCGAAGAAGCGCGACGATCTATGCTCATGGAAGAGGTACTCCTTCTCAGCGGACTAGGCGAAGGTCTCGGTGATGAGATATTGCGAAATGGTTCCGGGCGCGGTGAACGTATACTCGGTGAGGGTGGTAGGGGTGTTCGCGACGCTTGCGTAAGTGATAGTTTGTTGAGGGAGTCGGAAAGGGTGCCTGCGTGGTGGTGGCCTTGCGACGGTGCAGCTCCTCGTTGCGGTGACATTGTGTTGCGCGAACTGGGCGGGCGGCTGGACGCCATTTTTGTAGCGAGCGATTTCTGTCTCGGTATTGTCTGATGTTTGCGATTCGGATTCTATGGGGTGGGATCTCTTTGACGGGTGGGATCCCGCATGGGTTGTTGTCTCATTATTGTGAGGTTAGTTCCAGTCGCGTCCAACACAACTATTATCGCGATCGCCAAGCAAGGACGGAAACCCCTGCAGAATTCCAAAAAGGGTAGGCATCGGCATTTGGTGGCATCCACATCAACGGTAAGCATGTTCCTTTGTATGATAGAAAAGGGAATATGCATTATACGACGCGCTTCGTTATCTACAGTGCTATGCGACCACCCCGCTTCATGCTTAATTACACATTCGCCAACCCACCAACCAGATGCAAACCAACCATGACTCCACGCTACAACCCTTAGGTCTTGCTCAATGGGAAACCAACTCTCAGAACCTAAGGAAATCACCATCCCCATTATTCTGATGCTGACCACCATTCCGCTGCCCATGTTGCTCGCCACTAAAATACCCCGACGGAGAATTGGCTTGCGTGCCAGGACTGCCCGTATAAGCCGCATCTGAAATCTGCATCTGCGCCATCTGTGCATTCCCCAAGCCTGAAAAGTACATTTCCGCGGCATCCATTGCAGCGTCCAAGTTTCCTCCATTTGCATTGTACGAGTCTCCTCTATTGGGGCTCATGAATGATTGCGGCGCCACGATTGAGGTATTGAGCAAAGCTAGGCTCTTCCTTTGTTCGGTGTCTCGCAGATTTGCCTGATAGGACGGTAGACTGTGCTTTTGCAAAGCTGGACTGTCTTGTAAGCGTCGAGGGCGTGCGGTTCGGAAAACTTGTTGGACTGGCTTAAGGTAGATGGTGACCAATGTTCCTATATTCAGACACATTTCCTCCAACGTCGCCGGTTCTAGCTTCTCGCTCTCCGCTGTGATGGAAGGCTTTTCGCCTAATACTATCAACTTAGCAATGTCGATATTATTGCCTGGTAGATGCGCTATCAGCCGCCAGTACATATATCCTCGATCCCGCAGATCGGGGTTATCTGCATCATTAACAACCATATTAAGGGTCTTCATCATAATGTCCGCGCATTTTGTAGGTCGATGGAGGAAAAGTTTGACTGATGCTGTCAGTAGTTGGAGCTGTACCTCCACAGGCTCTTCCTGGAATGTGAACAAAAAGTCCTCGAGAAGCTGGTCCGAGTTTTCTATTCGATCTGCATATTGTCCAATCACCCAAATCATGGATGCCTTTGCTTCCGGCTCTTCCAGCGAATCCAAGTTTTCGCACAGGGTACCAATGATCGACTCATACTGATTAGGGTATTTCCGGAATATGTTGCGGATGACAACCGTTGCTTCCTGAACAATGTACGATATCTTGGTTGCCACCAACTCGAGAAGCGTGTTGATGCACAGCTTGGCTGCTGGCTCAATCTTGATGGCAAGCTTGCCAATCGCGCGGACGGACTTTCGAACAAAGTCCATGTCTATTTCTGTTGCGTACCTAGTTGTGATTAGCATGAAAACAAAAATGACAAGGATGCTCTACTCACTCCCTCAATTCAGTCAAGACTTCGTTGATGTTCTTCTCATTAGCGAGCATGAAAAGAAGCTCCAACTTGGTGACCTTGACATAAATTGGATCATTGTACTTGCAAAAGAAGACGCGAATATCATTGCGCAAAATCTCCGGTCGTCGCTGAAGTATTAGTAAAGCATTTCGAAGAGCCAAATATTGGATTTCCGGTCCTTTCGATAATAACGTGACAAGTGGTGGCGACAATTTTGTGCAGAGAGAAGAAATTACTTTTTGGTCGGAAATGTAATTCATGAGGTAGAGGATGACGCGTATGCACGTCAAAACGACAGCGGAGCTGGAATGTGAAAGCCGAGGAGAGATACGTTCGGCGAGGATGGAGGCGTCGGACGTATCGACGGGAACATAATTCATCATGGCTTCGAGAATGTACGTTTGACCCCATTCTGAGCAATCTGGTAGAATTTGAACAATCTTCGAAGCACTTGCGTAATCAATCGTGAGTTTGATAGACTCGCTTCGCTCCCAAACGTCCATCAAGCTTGCTAATGCGCTTGAAACAACTGTTGGATTCTCGTCTCGTAGCATGGTATTTAGTCGATCGATGAGGTCCGAGTTTTCGACCAGATTCCTATCGTGATCGTAGAGCTTGGCCACACAGAATGCTGCTGTTTTCCGGACGTAGGGGTCTCCGTCTTTGAGCAACTGTTTGAGGGGGTCCATTGTCGCGTTGACGAATTCTCGAACGTGTATGTATGAGATGGTTCGCAGTGCCAGAGCTCGTACAAGTGGATTCGCATCGTTGAGGTCCTTTGCTTATATTAGTAACTGCCATTCATGAGACAGCATCATATCACCAACCTGTACTAATATCGGCAACGCCTTGAGGGCCTGATCCGGTTTTATACGAGCATAATTGACCAGATATAAAAAGCCCCTGCAATGTAATCAGCCTTGTCCGTATACCCGATAGCCAAAGTTCTCCTCACATCTTCTTAATCTCCAAGCTCGGGATATGCATACAAGCAACCACGTCTGGAAACAGCGCAATCATATCATTGTTGCTCATTGTCATATTCGCAACAATTCTCTTCAGGGCAATCTTCTTGGCCGAGTGGTTTTTGTCCTTCTTGCCTCCGCTCCGAAGCTCTTCGCGCAGTTCGGCGACTTTGCCCTGTATAACGTATTAGCTCATGTCTTCTTGTTGCAGCATCTCTGTATGTTCACAATCGTTCGGATAGTAGGCATGCGACCATGATCAGGAGGGCCAAATGGTAGTATTGATGTAGGCGTAGGAGGTAATGAAAGAATACTCGGTGCCATCGCAGTGTAAAATCGTCGACATGTGAACTGCTGGTGTTGCTCTCATTGAAAGGAATTGCGATTCGCGTAGGTGAGGGGAGAGAATTAGGGATTACATTGACATTGAGAGTGGAGGAAAGCGCAAATAGCTACCTCGAAATAAAACTATTCAGAGGAATTGCACTTACTCGCGCAAAGAGCTTCGCATCTTGGCCGGTGCTCATGATTATTCCACGTTTACTTGTGCTATACGGCCAAAAGGCAATCTATATAACACAGACACGTCTTGTCTTCCAGCCTAAGACATTCCTAGGGAACTCTGCGTCGATCATACAAAGGACGTGATAAGGAGGTCAGTTTCAAGAGGAAGATAGGTGTTTCGTGAAGGGGAAGGGGGGAAAAGAGAGAGTTGACATTCAATTATGGGTGTTTAGGATCTAGATGTTTGTCGTTGACTGGGGGGGGGAGTGCGGAAGCGACAGAAACTCTCCGCATTTGGGGGTATTCTCAGTCGTACCTACGTAACAAACCTCGTCACCTGAGCCTACTTTGCATATTACCTCCCAACTCAACTTTGACCCGCAGCATCATAAAAGGTGATTCATTGCCTGGTCTTAATTCAACATGTCGAATCCTCCGCCTCCTCCACCGCCTCGCTGGGTGGTAGAACTCAATACGACGCCTGCAGCCAGGCCTAAGAATACCAGCTTAGTTGACCCGCCTGGATTTAGTGGCAGCGGACGGGTATGTCTATGTCTAGGCGCGTAGAATAGCACATAGACCGTAACTAATAATATGGTAGAAAGGAAACTCATCTAAGAAAGATGTGGCAGCACCGCGCAAAGCCCCTACCACGGAGGAGACAGACACCCTGAAAATGAAGAAAGCATGGGAACTCGCCATTGCACCAGCAAAAGCACTACCCATGAATGCCATTGGTATGCCTATTTCTCCCTTCAAATAATAGGATTTCCAATACTTAATGCAAAAAAGGAATGTACATGTCCGGCAACTCCCTCCAAATCTTCTCCGTCATGATGGTCTTCATGTGCTTCAAAACACCCCTCCTCGCCGTCCTCAACATCCAAGCCACCTTCGCCCGTCTCGAGTCCCCCGGAACAAAAGATAAAATGCTACTGGTGAAAATAACGTTTGTGTTGATGAATTTGTTGGCTGTTGCATTGGGTACTTGGAAGGTCAATCAGATGGGCTTGTTACCGTACGTATCACTTCAGTTTCATGGGCTGGATAAATGCTAATACCAACTGTAGGACTACAAGTTCGGATTGGTTGGCTTGGGAGTCGGCGAGAGATCCGTTGGAGAGAGCGTTCCCGGATTTCGCGACTTGATTTCGGTGTTTTATAGAGGATAGATACCCGGTAGGCCTGTATAACAAAACTTAAATTGTACAGTACCACCTCCGATTCACAAGGACATGATACCAGGCAGACAAGAATATTCGTCTAGACTTTTTCCATTGATCATTGGTGTTCCTGAATCCTGATTTTGAAGACAGGGACTGTCAACACTACCTTCCCGAATGTAGCCCATTCGAACCACTAACGGTCAACCAAAAACATTGAAAAGACATGACTGTAACTCCTCGACGGGGAATCGAACCCCGGCCGCCGGCGAGTTGTACTTGACAAGCCGGAATCTATTTGCATTGTTAGTTGTGAAGTACAGAAAGTTGGTGGTTGACGACTTTTTGACTTACCATATCCACTAGACTATCGAGGATGTTGTTTTGTATAGGCTCTTTGTGGATACTGTCATATGGAGCAGGTATCGTAGTCTCTAAAAAATTGCGTAAGCTTCAAGATGATGGCCGGAAACGGATATGCCGCGGGTGGAAGATTAGACATCGATTGCTGATTAGGCTTAATCATTCTAGGGGTATATCAAAAAGGCACCACCAAACCATTCTACACGCACTCTCATCTAACCTTTAAACCTCGCCTTCTTCTCCTTCTCCCGTAACGCCCTCTCATCCCTCCACCCAGGTCCGTACCTGCCCAAAATCAACAGAATAGGCAACAAAGCAAGAACAAGGGCCGCCTAAAAAAGTGAAAAACCATCCCCATCCTATACGTTCAATCATAATAATGATGATACCGGTCCCGTAGCACCCATCCAGCATTTTGACGACATTATTCGCAGCCGTAGCCGCGGACGGGCTCTGGGGATACATATCCACCAAAACGACACTCATAGCCTGAAAGCCACCGTTTAACGCTACGCCCATAGTGAATTGCAGAATTAGTGGTGCGGACAGGTGTGTTTCTGCTTGCATGATCCAATCATATGCTAGAACGGGGAGGGCACCAATGACAACCATCGCTGCTACGACTTCGGATCTCGCTTTCTCGAGGGGGAATGCACCGGTGGGGATATTGCCTCTCTTTCTGTCGATTTTTGATCCATGTTTCGCAGCTGTGCGTCTGTCATTCCTATCTAACAGTCTACCGTTGATTATGGGAGTGAGGATACAGCCAACTCCGAAGGGTATGTAATAGAGTCCTATTTGCAGGTCGTTGAAACCGTAGATTTGGGGAGAGGAGGTAAGTCGTGGAAGCTGCAACGTCGTAGAAGGCTGTAAAGCCTATACCATTATAAAAGGTGTGCAGCCCCGCATCTTTCTCTGCGATCACTCGGAAAGTGCTCAATGGGTTTGGCCGGCGGAATTTACGTTTCTGGGCGAGAGTCGCTTGCGCTCCGCGTTGTGAATCGCGCGTTGTATTCGAAGTTTGAGATGGGTTAATGTTTGCTATAGTGGCGGATCTTGCTCTTTTCATGGCCAGGTAATTAGGTGAGGACAGGTTCCAGTTTTGCGGTGGGATGGAACCATCTCCAACGACTTGCCGTGCCGTTTCAAGAAAGAATACAAGGAATGGGATGTGGAAAACTCCTGCTGATATGGCGAGAAACCAGAATATACGTCTCCAACCAAGGAGTTGTGCTAACAAGCCACCTAACACGGGACCAACTGTTGGTCCAGCCATTTCGAGCACGAATAGCCAGTATCCCTCGCGCCTTAGACGACTTTGGCTACTAGAGTCGAGTATTACACACCGGACCCAGAGTCACCCAGGCCATGTAGGTCCCCCCTCTCAGCACTGGTGCTAATATCAGCGACCACCCTACTCGCTAGCGCAATAACACTACTACTCCCCGTACTCTGCAAAGATCCCAGCACAAAGCGCAACAATATCATGCTGCAATGCAATCCCAATACACGCCGCAGTATAAGTCACAAAACTAATTAGATATACCGGACGTCTCCCAGTCATATCAGCTAGATCTCCAAAGAAAGTGGGTGCTAGGTCTTGGAGGATCACGTAGCATGTTAGGGTCAGGTTGACTACTGTGGGGGTGACGTAGTATCCGGTGGATATGGCGGTCAGGGCGAGGAAGTAGATGTTTGCTGATAGGGGGGAGAAGAAGCCGGCGAAGGCGGCCATGAAGATTATGAATTGATTTTCTCGTGGGCTGAAAGAGGAGTGGTTGGGGCGATTAGTAGGGGTCGGTTGCAAGGCCTCCAGATATTTTTCTAGGTCCCTGTCCTGTGGTGTATTGGCCAAATTGGGAAGTGAACAAGTCTCGAAAATGTTGTGAGAGGGGACCCGGCTCGTTTTGGCGACGACGGTCCATCCTTTTCTTCCATTTTAGGTTTTTCATTCATGGCTTTCGATCATTAGGTGTGTATTCCGTTTCTGTTTGTGAAATAGAGCACAAGTAGAACGAAATACTCATAACAGGAAACTTAAAAGGTGAAAATATTTAGATTTCGAAATTAAAGAGAATATAAATCGCAGAGTAATTCTACTTTTTACTGAGCAAGTCCTGAGCCTATCGGACACTTCTTCAGGAATAGCAGACGCCACAAAATTCAGGCTGGTACCGTGGGATCGCAAGTAGCACATCCGGGGAAAGAATTGAATGTAAAGACATACAAGACGTACGACAGAGCAAGCAATAGATGTCCTGTCTCGATCGATTTAGGAGTTACAACAAGAAGCATAGCGAACCGAAAATAAAAAAAAGTGTAGAGAAATACAAAGAGTTGACTGTCTGCCCCTCAGTCACAATTCATTTACCTTAGGCCAGCATGCTCAGTGATGGTCTTGAGATGATGTACATTTGAAGTCGTGGTTCCCGTCCCGAGCCGGCACAATCGGCACCCTCAAGCGGTTTCGGCTTCCGACCACACAATCAATACCATCAACCTAGCAATAATTCTCCTAAAGACCAATAGCCACAACAATATAAGATCCCTAGTCATGAAGATCGGAAGGTATGCATTGCGACCGCTTCGGCCTAAGGGTTGTCATAAGAGCCATGGGTGAACCCACATGGAGAGGACTCTGTCAAGCCCAGCCAACTCGCAGACCACAAATGCAAATTCCCGTCTTCCCTTTACAAAAATAAAAGCCTCGTTTCCTGCAAAGAAATCTGTCTCTATAAAACGAGTTCTCAAGATGGAAACGTTACGAGCGCTCTCTCCTCGACCATTATCGCCGTATACAGACAATGTTGACCGTGAATCACTCACTCTTAAAGGAGATCAACGGAAGCTTGTAGTGGTGCAGCAGATGGAATCGGAGGATCCGTTCTCCGATGCTGATGCTAGGCATGAAAACAGCCATCTCTCTGGCTCCTTCAGTTTGTTTGGCTGTCTACGTTGGAGTTTTCTATCGATTATGAGGGACTTGAAGGCTTTGTTTGTGGCATCAAGATATAGGCCAGGTATACAACCGCAGAGGTCTGATGGTAAACTAACGTGGCTGTTGTAAACTGCAATTATTGATACTGATGTCTTGATAGAGCCTCGGACGATGTTATGGAGAGACAGGAATAATCCTTATGTTTCATTTGGAAAGGGACAGTCGAGAATGAAATTAGAAGAGGTGGATGAGATGGTCTGATCGCGCCAGGGGCACAGGGCAAGACTATACCATTAAGCCTTTCCAGGTAATCACATATTACCAACTCTTGGGCTGGAGCCACAATCAAATTTAATTGGTGTAATGCAGGATGAATAGGGATACGAGTTGAGACATCAAATTGTTTCTTTGACTGTGGATTGAAGCTAATAATCACAGATAACATTTAATCACCATTTCCGCTAGTGAGCTTTTCTGTTATTTGTCCACTACACAGGATGAACCGGCACAAAGTACGGGACACAGGTGTACCCACGTGCTAAAAATTTGAGGTTGTGTAAGACCAGATTCTAGTGTCACAGAGTTGTGTACGACTCTTTTTGATATTAGAAATTAAGCTAGAACTCATACCACGGCTTTCGTCCTATCAACACTCCTTCATGTCACCATCTCCCACTCGGCCAACGCTGTATCATTCCTCCACCTAAAACATAGCAGCAACACCAGCCACAAGGACCAAAGCGACGGGTGCCTGAAATTTCTTAGCCATCGCACCGGAACTAGGAGCTATGGTAGGAGATTCCGTCGAGGAGGCTGTGCTGGTGCCAGTCTCCTCTGTAACTGTGGTGGAAGTTGATTCGCCAACTGTTGTGGTGATTGAAGTAACTGAACTGTTTCCTGAGGTAGACGATGTGGGTATCACGCCAGATGTTGAGGTAGTGGTGCTGGTCACAACATTGGAATTAGAAGTTGATGTAGTCGACTGGGGAGGTGCGGAAGAGGAGACTGGTGGAGTGGAAGTTGAGGTGCTCGTCGAGAGAATACCACCATAACCAGCAGGGCAAACAGGACCGACGTTATCGTACGCAGTTTTTGCAGCCGCTTTATATTGTTCGATTGTTTGGTCATTTCTGATTTTCTCATTAGTATCACTATTTTTCAATCTCGAAGCATGCAGGAAGATTGATTATACTTACGGAGGATTGACGACACCACCCATTCCATCTTGGCAATGCGATCCAACGGAGCAGTAAAACCAGATTGGCTTGTCGTCCTTGACCTCGACGGAGAATGTCACATTGCCCTCACCAGTTGGAACCCTCATGTCGCCAGAGTAGAAGCCACCAGCAAGAGGGTTACAGGCTTTATCGAAGGAGCCTTGGACAGCATTGTGCATGCGTGGCAAGAAATGGAATTCCAGGATATCGCCTTTGGCAGCTACTGTGGACGCTGGCTTGAATTCGTAGTCGGAGGCATCGATGCGAATTGTCTTTGCAGCAACAATACTGGCTATGCCAGCGAGTAGAGTAGATAGTGTCAGGTGCATCGTGTTTGTAGGTATGGTACAGATCTTGCTATTTTATGGAGAAAGGCGAGTGACTTTATACGGCTTGTTGGTTTGTTTGTACTCACTGCAGGGTTCCGGTTGCACGAGGCGAAGTGAGGAATGCGACTGTAAGTTGTTTTGTGTCATAAGAATGCTGGTTCCACCTTCTAGGCTATTGATTTGTCATACGTAAATAGCCTCGAGGCAGTGAACTACTGTTAGAGCCGCTTACTTGGGTTTGTTCATCGTTGTCTTGAGTCTTCCATGTTGTACTGAGCATATCCATGACTTCAGCCTCGCACGATTCTTCCCACCACTTCACAATGTCGGGATGTTGCAGGAGATGTTAAGCTCGATTCCAAAGGATCTACACATTACTCCCGTGATACGCATCATATTGGTCTCAAATACTTCGCCTCGATTTATTGTATTCCTTCTCCTCCTCGTTATATTGCATCGCTCCAGAGACCGAACAGACTCTTAATCCAGTATCGCTTCATGATGCAAACTAAGATGACCTACTTTCTTTT